GACCTCACCCTCTCACCGTCCCCCCCGACTCACAAGGCAGGTAATACGCTTGACCTCATCTTTACTAGATGCTGTTCTTCTACTAATCTCACTGCAACTCCCCTCCATGTCTCCGACCACTACTTTGTATCCTTTTCTCTCTCGCTCTCCTCCAACACTACTCACTCTGCCCCTACACAGATGGTAATGCGCCGCCGCAACCTTCGCTCTCTCTCTCCCGCTACTCTCTCCTCTTCCATCCTATCATCTCTTCCCTCTGCTCAATCCTTCTCCCTCCAATCTCCTGATTCTGCCTCCTCAACCCTCCTCTCCTCCCTTTCTGCATCCTTTGACTCTCTATGTCCCCTATCCTCCCGGCCGGCTTGGTCCTCCCCTCCAGCTCCGTGGCTTGACGACTAATTGCGAGCTCACAGAACAGAGCTCCGGGCAGCTGAGCGGAAATGGAAGAAAACTAGACTCACTCACCACCTGGAATCTTTTCACTCCCTCCTCTCTACATTTTCTTCATCTGTTTCTGCTGCTAAGGCCACTTTCTACCACTCTAAATTCCAAGCATCTGCCTCTAACCCTAGGAAGCTCTTTGCCACATTCTCCCCCCCCCCCCCTCCCCCTCCTCCCTCTCTGTGGATGACTTCGTCAACCACTTTGAAAAGAAGGTTGACGACATCCGATCCTCGTTTGTTAAGTCAAATGACACTGCTGGTCCTGCTCACACTGCCCTACCCTATGCTTTGACTTCTTTCTCCCCTCTATCTCCAGATAAAATCTTGCGACTTGTGACTGCAGGCCGCCCAACAACCTGCCCGCTTGACCCTATCCCCTCCTCTCTTCTCCAGACCATCTCCGGTGACCTTCTCCCCTACCTCACCTCGCTGATCAACTCATCCTTGACCGCTGGCTATGTCCCTTCCGTCTTCAAGAGAGCGAGAGTTGCACCCCTTCTCAAAAAACCAACACTCGATCCCTCTGATGTCAACAACTACAGACCAGTATCCCTTCTTTCTTTTCTTTCCAAAACTATTGAGCGTGCCGTCTTTAGCCAACTCTCTTGCTATCTCTCTCAGAATGACCTTCTTGATCCAAACCAGTCAGGTTTCAGGACTGGTCATTCAACTGAGACTGCTCTTCTCTGTGTCACGGAGGCTCTCCGCACTGCTAAAGCTAACTCTCTCTCCTCTGCTCTTGTCCTTCTAGACCTGTCTGCTGCCTTTGATACTGTGAACCATCAGATCCTCCTCTCCACCCTCTCCGAGCTGGGCATCTCCGGCGCGGCTCACTCTTGGATTGCGTCCTACCTGACCGGTCGCTCCTACCAAGTGGCGTGGCGAGAAGCTGTCTCCGCACCACGTGCTCTCACCACTGGTGTCCCCCAGGGCTCAGTTCTAGGCCCTCTCCTATTCTCGCTATACACCAAGTCACTTGGCTCTGTGATATCCTCACTTGGCTCTGTCATATCCTCACATGGCCTCTCCTATCATTGCTACGCTGACGATACACAACTAATCTTCTCCTTTCCCCCTTCTGATAACCAGGTGGCGAATCGCATCTCTGCATGTCTGGCAGACATATCAGTATGGATGACGGATCACCACCTCAAGCTGAACCTCGGCAAGACGGAGCTGCTCTTCCTCCCGGGGAAGGACTGCCCGTTCCATGATCTCGCCATCACGGTTGACAACTCCGTTGTGTCCTCCTCCCAGAGTGCGAAGAGCCTTGGCGTGACCCTGGACAACACCCTGTCGTTCTCCGCTAACATCAAGGCGGTGACCCGATCCTGTAGGTTCATACTCTACAACATTCGGAGAGCACGACCCTGCCTTACACAGGAAGCGGCACAGGTCCTAATCCAGGCACTTGTCATCTCCCGTCTGGATTACTGCAACTCGCTGTTGGCTGGGCTCCCTGCCTGTGCCATTAAACCCCTTCAACTCATCCAGAATGCCGCAGCCCGTCTGGTGTTCAACCTTCCCAAGTTCTCTCACGTCACCCCGCTCCTCCGCACACTCCACTGGCTTCCAGTTGAAGCTCGCATCTGTTACAAGACCATGGTGCTTGCCTATGGAGCTGTGAGGGGAACGGCACCTCCGTACCTTCAGGCTCTGATCAGTCCCTACACCCAAACGAGGGCATTGCGTTCATCCACCTCTGGCCTGCTGGCTCCCCTTCCTCTGCGGAAGCATAGTTCCCGCTCAGCCCAGTCAAAACTGTTCGCTGCTCTGGCACCCCAATGGTGGAACAAGCTCCCTCACGACGCCAGGACAGCGGAGTCACTCACCACCTTCCGGAGACATTTGAAACCCCACCTCTTTAAGGAATACCTGGGATAGGATAAAGTAATCCTTCTACCCCCCCCCCCCCCCCCCCCCCCAAAAAAAAAATGGTAAAGTGGTTATCCCACTGGCTATAGGGTGAATGCACCAATTTGTAAGTCGCTCTGGATAAGAGCGTCTGCTAAATGACGTAAATGTAAATGTAAAAGGACAACAAGAGGACTGGGACAGGGCTGAAGTTGTGAGTTAAACAGAGTTTTACCTGCTGCGAGGGCAGCTTTATGCTCAGCTTTCTCCTGTTTGGAGCGGGGTGAGTCTCTGGTTCTCTCCTCAGCATGCTGCCTCTCCTTCTCCCTCTTTCTGGCCTCCAGGGCCTTCATACTCATCTGCAGCTGGCTGGTGTACTTCTCATGCTAATACACGCAAAAGGAAAGCAGGATATGAAAAAGCCCCTACCAGACTATCACTTACATTCATAGATGACATGTACAGTGGGGGGAAAAAGTATTTAGTCAGCCACCAATTGTGCAAGTTCTCTCACTTAAAAAGATGAGAGGCCTGTCATTTTCATCATAGGTACACGTCAACTATGACAGACAAAATGAGGAAAAAAAATCCAGAAGATCACATTGTAGGATTTTTAATGAATTTATTTGCAAATTATGGTGGAAAATAAGTATTTGGTCAATAACAAAAGTTTCTCAATACTTTGTTATATACCCTTTGTTGGCAATGACACAGGTCAAACGTTTTCTGTAAGTCTTCACAAGGTTTTCACAAACTGTTGCTGGTATTTTGGCCCATTCCTCCATGCAGATCTCCTCTAGAGCAGTGATGTTTTGGGGCTGTCGCTGGGCAACACGGACTTTCAACTCCCTCCAAAGATTTTCTATGGGGTTGAGATCTGGAGACTGGCTAGGCCACTCCAGGACCTTGAAATGCTTCTTACGAAGCCACTCCTTCGTTGCCCGGGCGGTGTGTTTGGGATCTTTGTCATGCTGAAAGACCCAGCCACGTTTCATCTTCAATGCCCTTGCTGATGGAAGGAGGTTTTCACTCAAAATCTCACGATACATGGCCCCATTCATTCTTTCCTTTACACGGATCAGTCGTCCTGGTCCCTTTGCAGAAAAACAGCCCCAAAGCATGATGTTTCCACCCCCATGCTTCACAGTAGGTATGGTGTTCTTTGGATGCAACTCAGCATTCTTTGTCCTCCAAACACGACGAGTTGAGTTTTTACCAAAAAGTTCTATTTTGGTTTCATCTGACCATATGACATTCTCCCAATCCTCTTCTGGATCATCCAAATGCACTCTAGCAAACTTCAGACGGGCCTGGACATGTACTGGCTTAAGCAGGGGGACACGTCTGGCACTGCAGGATTTGAGTCCCTGGCGGAGTAGTGTGTTACTGATGGTAGGCTTTGTTACTTTGGTCCCAGCTCTCTGCAGGTCATTCACTAGGTCCCCCCGTGTGGTTCTGGGATTTTTGCTCACCGTTCTTGTGATCATTTTGACCCCACGGGGTGAGATCTTGCGTGGAGCCCCAGATCGAGGGAGATTATCAGTGGTCTTGTATGTCTTCCATTTCCTAATAATTGCTCCCACAGTTGATTTCTTCAAACCAAGCTGCTTACCTATTGCAGATTCAGTCTTCCCAGCCTGGTGCAGGTCTACAATTTTGTTTCTGGTGTCCTTTGACAGCTCTTTGGTCTTGGCCATAGTGGAGTTTGGAGTGTGACTGTTTGAGGTTGTGGACAGGTGTCTTTTATACTGATAACAAGTTCAAACAGGTGCCATTAATACAGGTAACGAGTGGAGGAGAGAGGAGCCTCTTAAAGAAGAAGTTACAGATCTGTGATAGCCAGAAATCTTGCTTGTTTGTAGGTGACCAAATACTTATTTTCCACCATAATTTGCAAATAAATCCATTAAAAATCCTACAATGTGATTTTCTGGATTTTTTTCTCTCAATTTGTCTGTCATAGTTGACGTGTACCTATGATGAAAATTACAGGCCTCTCTCATCTTTTTAAGTGGGAGAACTTGCACAATTGGTGGCTGACTAAATACTTTTTTTCCCCACTGTATATGTGTGGAAGTTCTCACTTACTTTGAGAGCCTCCTCTGGCACCTTGTGTTGACTCCTCTCCAGGACGTACATATGAGAATGTGGAAGAAGAGTTAAGGAAGGCATTTTCAATCTGGAGCCATTGGGTTAGAATAATACATGTCACTGACACTTGCCATTTTAGATAATTATTAGCCTATGCAGTCCTTGAAGCTCTAACTTTCTGAGAACTCTGAGACATGTGGCATGTGGCATGGCAACGCATACTAAAAACGTCTACCTTTAAGCATCTTTTGTCCCAGTTATCTAAACTCAATTTCACTATTCATGTTTTTCAGCTCAGAGGTTCAAGGGTCCAAGAGCTTTTCAGTCCAGAGTTGAGCATAATCTAAAAACCCTGACTCAAACCACAGGGAATTAACATGCTGGGAGAGTTTGGTGCACAAACCACTGAGGGAAAAGAAAATGAATATTTGAAATTCCTTTCTACCAGCAAGTATAGACCAAAGCTTTATGGAATCCAATTGTTTGTAAGAAACAAGCATAAGAGAGCACTCAGAGGTTCAAAAGTATGCATTCTTCTGATCCAATCAAGAAAATCCCCAAACAATGAAGATTGAATAATCAATAAAACACTAAAAAGAATTACAATCATTATCAGATAATCAAAAGGATATCATATCCAAAGCGGATGACATCAGAGGGCTTCAGGGTGATGTAAGTCTGGTCTGGGATTCTCAGATCATTCACAAAAGTCTAGGGAGAAAATAGATAAAACTGTTTGTTTTGGTGCGTTTACATTAAAAGCTTCAGAAAAATCAACAATCATGATTAGTTCACTGCCATTGGAATAAAAACAGATACTGATGATAAAAGAGTTAGTTGTCACACTGGCAACAGGTCATTCCATTGCACACACATCCTCTGGAGTTTTCCTAGCTAGGTGCTGCTTAGCAGTTGCCTGTCTCCTAGTGAAATGTAAGATATACTACCTGTAAATTAAGGGATTAATGAGATTATGCAGTTATGCAATGGCCATCTGCCCTGAGTAGGCTCAGGAAGGCAGTCAGGGGACAGGTGGGTAGAGAGCAGGCTAACTCTGAGAGCACTCACACACCAGCAAAAGCTACACGACTTAATTACATTACACTCTGCATAATCTAAATTAAACCCACAATCCAGAGGTATAGATACTGTATCAAGTATCGCTTAGTGGAAGGCTATAGCCTAACAGTGCTTAAAAAAGGGCTCACCACCATAAGTAGACTAAATAAAGATAATTGTCAAAGTAATAGGAAAACAAACTGCCATGACACATTTCAGTAACATGCTTCTGACATTCTATTCTGCTCTGTTTAGAGTTGGCTGCTCCAACTGCTGGTGCCAAGAGAAACACTACAGTGAAACAATGGACAGTCTTTCCCTCTCCTCAGTCCTGTGCTTTGCTGGAACAGTGCAATGAAGTGGCAATAGTAAAGCGGGAGGCGTCAGGGGGAGGGAGAGAGAGAAAGAGAGAGAGTGAGGCAGAAATAGAGCGAAAAAGACAGAGAGAGGGGTAGAGAGAGAGAAAGAAGGAGACCATAGAAAAGGCCCAGGCCAGCAGAAAATGCTGTGCTCATTGCTGCTCTAGCAACTGTCTCTGGCACTGAGAGAGGGCTCTTTTGTGCTAAAGCCTGGGGGACTGGTAGTGGTCCTCTGGACCCTCCATGAAGTGGCTAGCTGGATCCTTTATTCAACATGTATGCAGGGGACAAGATGAGACTCACCCCGTTCAGGCTGCCCAGGTCCTTCACCATGTGCTCGTCTGTGGCTGGGTCGTAGTTGACGACAGCATGTTGCTTGTCCACACTGCGCGACTGTAAAACAAGACAGAGAACATACCTGAGCATCTCATACTGATGGGCAATGGCTAAGAAACCTCAGAGATTGGATACTGTCATGAGTTTAAGCAGTGAAACAAAATATCTGCAATGAAGGCTACATGCATGTACAGTAGATAACTGTGCTCATAGTCAAACAGATAGGCCTTTGAGTTTGCTTACATTCCTGCAAAGAATCACTATTACTCCTAACCAATACAAGCCGGGTCATTCTGGTACCCGCTGGATGAAGACGACCCAAGTCTGACACTGAACAGGCAAGGAGAGCACTTTACACAACTCAACCAATCATCCCTGTCCTCAACAAGCCACCAGCCGGCAGGGCAGGAGGATTAGAAAGACAGCTCTACTGTAGTTCTGCTCATTAATTAACGGGCAGAACAAAAGCAGTAATTACGGCAGGCTGAGCCACTCTCTCTCTCTCTTCCACTCATTATCCACTCCAGGCCTCCTCTTCACCACATCAAAGACAGACCTTTCACCCACCTAACTCATTTGTTTAGTTATTACTGTTACTATCGTTCATTCATATTGTTGTCACCTACTGCATGTTAACCACAGTGGCAGTCGGTGCCATTTAAGATTAGGGAGGACAATCTTTTTTTTTTTATGAGCATGGCCTTATTTCTATTACAGGATATTGGATGACTGTCATTCATATTCCATTCACCCAGCTCAATGTAACATAGGCTTAGGCTACTACATGACTCTCAAATTGTCCCTATACTCATCATGAGGTTGCTACAACCTAGCCTACAAATGAAAGTTTAACGTAGGTGCACATGTCGAGAGACAAATTGGAGTAATCAAGGTGACAGACAGTGACACATTCAATACCACCTTGCACACGCTTGCCTGCATCTAGCTCATCTAGGGTGTAATCGTTAGTCCAAACAGTTGCAAAACTTTACGTTTTGGAACCAAAACTAGTGTTTCTATTGGACAAATTCAGGTACATGTCCTTCAGGTAGACCTTCATTGCAAAACAGTGTATTTTAAATCAGTTATTTGGTGACGTGAATATATTTAGTAGTTTTATCTAAAAAGGATAACTTTATTAATGTTGCACAATTTTTATGAAGTTCACTGAGTAGGATGGTCCTCCCCTTCCTCCTCTGAGGAGCCTCCACTGGTTAACCACTAATTTGGAGATTTTAGAGGCTCTAGTTTTATGGAGTAGCTATTTTCCTTTCTCAAATCAGCAGTGGGCAATTATAAATTGAAGCAATGCCTAGTACGATTATCCTGGTTTGTTTGGTATTACCATCAACACTTTGAAAGCTCTACAGTATTGGGTAATGTCCATGTAAAAGGATCCATGAGCATCAACATGAAGTTCATTGGAGCATATCAAAATTGGGTGTTAAATGAAAGCTAAGATTATTGTATAAATTTTTTAGATGGAGGCATATATACATTTTCCAACCATTTTCGATCCTATAAATTAGGAAAAAGCAAAGGCTTTGATATTTCTGGTCAAACAGATGGAAAGGGGGTCTTAGAAAACATCTACCAGAAATACATCACAACACACATCTTTTAGAGGGTGATGTCCATATACCTTTTTTTTTTTTTTTTTAAAGACTACAAACTGGCAGCTGCCTCCTGCTTCATATCTAAATCTAAAGGGGTGCTTATTCTACATAAATGCAATCTACCCCTTACAATTGAAAAAAGTGGAAATGATAAACATGGCAGATTTACTTACATATGTTCCACTCTGTATGGAAGTAAAATAGCATTTGTATCTATTGATGCTTATAACTCATATGACAAAGATTTTCTCCCTTCTGTAACCAGAAGCCTGCTCAATTGATCAGATTATACGCTTATTATTGGAACTGGCATGAATGCCATTATTGATTCTAAGCTAGATACAGTACCAGTCAAAAGTTTGGACACACCTACTCATTCAAGGGTTTTTCTTTAGTTTTACATTTTTTTACATTGTAGAATAATAGTGAAGACATCAAAACTATGAAACAACACATATAGTATAATGTAGTAACCAAAAAAGTGTTAAACAAATCAAAATATATTTTATATTTGAGATTCTTCAAAATAGCCACCCTTCACTATTATTCTACAATGTAAAAAATAGTAAAAATGAAGAAAAACCCTTGAATGAGTAGGTGGGTCCAAACTTTTGACTGGTAGCGTAGATCTGGACCTTCTCATAGCTCATCACAAGTGAATGCTTCCAATGCACTTAAACAATTTCTTAAAGATCTTAATCTTAATGACTGTTGGAGATTTCATAATCCCACAACTAAGGACTATACATGCTTTTCTGCTAGATTTTAGACTTTTCTCGAGAATATCTACTGATATTAAAGGTAACATGGAATTTATAAAAAACATTCTGACCATAATCCCATTCTTTTGTACATTTCAAATCTTCCCAATGAAAAAATGTGCACTGAGATGGTTTAATAATACTTTACTACACAACTGACTTCATCTTTCAGTTTAGATCCAATTTAAAATCATTTTTAGAAATAAATTATCACTCAGTGGAGGACTCAACTATGGTATACACTACACATTTTCCCTCTAATTTACAGAAATGAAGACTTCAGAAGTCATTGGAAAATGCTGGAAGACAACTATTCAACAGAGAGAGAAATGTAGCTATAAATAAGTAGACTGGAACTTAATGACCTGTTTTGACAGAGCAGAATTCATTATGCAGAGGGTGTGACAAAAACACTATTTTCAAGGGAGTAGGCCTAGCCACTTACTGGCGCTGCATCTTAAACATGCTGAAACAAGATCATCAATACAGCTATTTAGATCCCCTACTAAGGGACTGATTTCTGAGCAACTTTTAGAGCATATTATTCAGTTATTCACATAGCTTTGATACTTCCTGGAGAACCTTACGTTGCCCAAACTTTTTCAGAAATAAACAGTTTTATTAGAGGAACCAGTCACTTTATCTGAACTGAAAGCTGCTCTTTTAAATATGAAGAAAGATAAAACGTCTGGTATTGATGGAATATCTCCTGAACTCATTCACAACTTTTGGGATGAGCTATGACCAATTATTATTGAATCGCTTAACATTGCTATTGAAAAAGAACAATTCCACAGAGACATCAACACAGCTACTATATCCCTAATCCCTAAGAAAGGAAAATAACTCACAAATTGTGCTAATTTACAGCCAATCAGTTTAATCGGAACAGAAATGAAGATGTACAGTGCATTCGGAAAGTATTCAGACCACTTGACTTTTTCCACATTTTGTTATGTTACAGCCTTATTCTAAAATGGATTAAATTGTTTTTTTTCCCCTCATCAATCTACACACAATACCCCATAATGACAAAGCAAATACAGGTTTTTAGACATTTTAGCAAATTTACATAGGTATTCAGACCCTTTACTCAGTACTTTGTTGAAGCACCTTTGGCAGCGATTACAGCCTTGAGTCTTCTTGGGTATGAAGCTACAAGCTTGGCACACCTGTATTTGGGGGGTTTCTCCCATTCTTCTCTGCAGATCCTCTCAAGCTCTGTCAGGTTGGGGAGCGTTGCTGCGCAGCTATTTTCAGGTCTCTCCAGAGATGTTAGATCGGGTTCAAGTCCGGGCTCTGGCTGGGCCACTCAAGGACATTCAGAGACTTGTCCTGAAGCCAGTCCTGCGTTGTCTTGGCTGTGTGCTTAGGGTCGTTCTCCTGTTGGAAGGTGAACCTTTGCCCCAGTCTGAGGTCCTGAGCAGGTTTTCATCAAGGATCTCTCTGTACTTTGCTCCATTCATCGTTCCCTCGATCCTGACTAGTCTCCCAGTCCCTGCCACTGAAAAACATCCCCACAGCATGATGCTGCCACCACCATGCTTCACCGTAGGGATAGAGCCAGGTTTCCTCCAGATGTGACGCTTGGCATTCAGGCCAAAGAGTTCAATCTTGGTTTCATCAGACCAGAGAATCTTGTTTCTCATGGTCTGAGAGTCCTTTAGGTGCCTTTTGGCAAACTCCAAGCGGGCTGTCATTTGCCTTTTACTGAGGAGTGGCTTCCGTCTGCACACTCTACCATAAAGGCCTGATTGGTGGAGTGCTGCAGAGATGGTTGTCCTTCTGGAAGGTTCTCCCATCTCCACAGAGGAACTCTGGAGCTCTGTCAGAGTGACCATCGGGTTCTTGGTCACCTCCCTGACCAAGGCCCTTCTCCCCCAATTGCTCAGTTTGGCTGGGCGGCCAGCTCTAGGAAGAGTCTTGGTGGTTCCAAACTTCTTCCATTTAAGAATGATGGAGGCCACTGTGTTCTTGGGGACCTTCAATACTGCAGAATTTTTTTGGTACCCTTCCCCAGATCTGTGCCTCGACACAATCCTGTCTCTGAGCTCTACGGACAATTCCTTCGACCTCATGGCTTGGTTTTTGCTCTGACATGCATTGTCAACTGTGGGACCTTATATAGGCAGGTGTGTGCCTTTCCAAATCATGTCCAATCAATTGAATTTACCACAGATGGGCTCCAATCAAGTTGTAAAAACATCTCAAGGATGATCAATGGAAACAGGATGCACCTGAGCTCAATTTCAAGTCTCATAGGTTCTGAATACTTATGCAAATAAGGTATTTCTGTTTTTTATTTTTAATACATTTTCAAAAATTTCTGAAAACCTTTCGCTTTGTCATTATGGGGTATTGAGTGTATATTGATGAGGAGCAGTTTTTATTTAATTCATTTTAGAATAAGGCTGTAACGTAACAAAATGTGGAAAAGGGGAAGGGGTCTGAATACTTTCCGAATGCACAGTATGCCAAAGTTCCAGCCATGCGCCTAGAGAAAGTTATTAACAAGCTCATCCATCCTGACCAAACAGGGTTTATTAAAGGGTCTACCAACTGAGCTACAGGGGACCATGTATGTGAATCCTTCTTTTATTATATCTACTGGCACTACCCATTCTAATCCATTTACCATTCAACGAGGATGTAAACAAGGTTGTCCCGCCTCCCCTATGCTATTTGCTCTCTCTCTTGAACCTCTGGCACAAAGCATAAGTCAAAATTCGTCTTCCTCGCATATCAAAATCAAACAAACTGAACATGCAATTTCTCTGTATGCAGATGACATAATGCTCTACGTCGCAAACGCTCAGAAATCCCTCCAGCCAATAATGTCTATTTTCACAGCATTCAGCCCATGGTCTGGTTACAAGATAAACTGGTCCAAATCAGCTCCACTACCTCTTAACTCAGCTATGGGAAGCGTGCAACTACCACCCATGATCCGTGTGAAGAAGCAAATCACCTACTTATACATTACCATATCCCCCGCTATTCACACTACTTGCAGGAATAACTACTTAGAAACCTTTCAAAAGATCAAAAAATACATAAAAAGATTAACCGCTATGGCCACTTCTTTGAATGCTAGAACCTCAATTATTCAAATGAATGTCCACCCTTGTATCAATTTTATGAATTCCATGTTACCACTGCCGCCTCCTATAGGTTATTGTTCTAAACTTGACTCTGTCATAAAGAAGTTCATTTGGGGGAGAAAGAGACCAAAGATTAAATATGCAACACTCCACATATTTTCATATCTGTCACATGAGAATTGTGTTTTCCCGCTAATTGCATTTTGGAACATTCGCTCATAACCTATAGCCATGTACGCATTGTTGAGCTTATAATATGAAGAAATAAAACATTATCAACATTTTAAGCTAAACAGCCTCATTGCTTTAAAAAAATGTTTATGTGCAGTGGTTGTATGAATTTTGGATTGGTTGTCCAAGAACTGTCCCAGAGTCTGTTTTTAACCGTATATTTTTTGGGTGATGGGATGCCCATAATTTCGAGCCCTGGAGGGAATTATTTTATAAAAACATTTTTAAAAAAGTATATTTTATAGACTACCAAGGGTGGCCAACCATCCTCCAGGAGAGCCTTAAAAGGGGAGTATTGTATTTTGAGACAGGCTTGAATATGCAAAGAAGCCAATAGGAAGAGTGTAGCCTACATTTTTGTCTTTGGTAAAAAAAATTGTCATGCATTTTATTTGTAAAGTGTCATCCTTACATCATACAATTGTGTTACAGACCAAGTCACTTGAGCTTAAAAAATATATATAAAAAAATCTGTCCTACAAGTGGCAAAAAAAATAGTGAATGTCAAGCCCTGGATTGGTTCAGATTTGGTCCGGTCTGGACCAACCAAATTTGGTTTTGTTTGGGGGCAGAGCTCATTAAAATAATAGCCAGTGTGTAGAATAATATCCAAATATGCAAAGGAGGATATTACATATTTCTACCTGTGTACCTATTTAGGATACATCACCATGAAGAGAATGGCATTCATATCCATAATTATGCACTTCTGTGTATTACAGATCAGGGACCCATGATGAAATTCCGTTACTGGGTGTAAATCCACAACTTACTGTAGTTCAATAACCAAAATAGATTTTTTCAAAGTCAATATGTTATGTCATAGCTGACACCCCATTCTTTCTGCAGAGTTTTTGGGAAACGTGTGGACACAAAAAACAGATGGAGATTTTATCAAAATTATTTTACCAAACTTTGCATCTGCACAGTTCTTCCAGTAAATGTTTTTTTTTGTACAATTTTCAGTGTAAATTGTTAAAAGTGGTCCTTGTGCATAGAGTTGTATGACTTGTTAAACTTGAAATCATTTTTTTTTGTTTAGCATACATTTTAAGTGAAAGTTCCGTTACCGTGGAATTGCCCTTGACATCAAAAAGTCTGGTCTCAAATAATCAATAAAACACCACTCAGTTACAACATTACCCCACTTTCCAAGAGGAATGTCAATCTATCTTATCTGAGACTAATGCGACCTCTGGCACCCCACAGCCGTGCAGATGTGCACAGTGACCAATACAGTTGCTCTATTTATATAGGGACTTCATGGCCTACTTGTTGGGCTTGTGGAGGCACATACTGTTCACACAGACTGTAACTGTTAAGGAGAGACAACATCAAGGCCCTAAACAACTTTCACTTGAAATGGCTCCAGTTCCACATCTGTCAAAAAGCCAAATGGAATGCTCACGTTACAGACAGTCACCAAACTTCGGTTTATGTGGGTATTGTCATTTTACATTGTGCTGCAAATACAAAAACAAAAGATTGTACAATGCCAAAAAGGGACAAGACTGAAATATGCTTGGGCTATAGCACATGCCAGACCAGAAAGCATGCACACTTAAAAAGAGGGATTATAAGTAAGCATAATTTCCAATAGGAGAGGCTGAGGTTTTGCTGGAGCCAGTGATGCCTGAATGTGGACAAGAGCAACTTTTCAATTCTACAAGCAGATGTGGTGGGCTGGTCATTTTGAGCAGACCACAGTCTGAGGAAAGTTTATAAACTATTTTCAAGACAGAATTCTTTTTTTCCAGTGGCTTAAATACAGAGAGAAGGCAAGAGCGAGAAGTACACAGAGAGAAACTCCCAAATGATACCAAACAGAAAACTAGAACTAGAAAACATGGAGAAAAATAGCACGGTGGAATGTGTCAGTTGCATTTTGCTTTGACATTTGCCAGAGGCAATTCTCCCAGCAGGCACTGCTCTTAAAACACCCTTGTAACACACAAACACAAATAAACACCTCTCATGTACACACAGGTCATCTCCCACAGATCTCTCGTACATTAACCTAACTTACTTTCCTTGAGTCAGGACCCTAATATAGGCTACGTCCTTTCACAAGAAGGTGGATGGACAGTTGATTGGCTAAGTGTCACATGACAGGCTGATGGTGTTTGGTGTCTAAACAGAAGGTGCTACGGATGTCATACGGTAATCCCTAAAAACGCACCACCTCCATACAGCTACGACTGGAAGTGACTTTTCATAGCAGGTTAGGAGATAATTTTCGCTAATCCTAACCCTTTTCCTAACCTTAAGCTAATTCTCCTAAATTGCTATGTTAATTATCCTAACCTGCTGCATAAGTTCTCCTAACCTGCTACGAAAAAGTCACTTCCGGTAGTAGCTGTATCGAAGTGCCGTGTTTTTAGGGAATCTTGACGTCGTACACACCTGCAGCATGAGCTCGCACTCCTCCCGGCCCACAAAGATCATCTCCGGTGGCAACCGGTGTCTTGTGCCTGAGCTGCTGACCAGGAACCATGACGTCACACTCATCTTGGAGCCCCAACTCAGAGCCTTCTTAGCATCCTGGGAGGGGTGAGAAGACGTGATATTAGACAACATGTAAAGCAGTATATTCTTGTTGTCACCACATTCACAGCAATTCTGGTACAACATTTGGACAACTAACAACGCAATCAAATCTTTTCAGATCTATTAACAACACACATCTGATAATCTGCCTTGACAGTTGACATTATCCTAAGGCAGGGGTCGGAAACAGGCGGACCGTGGGCCAAAACCACCCCCCGCCCCCAAAGTTAAAAATAAAAATGTTTTAGAAAGAGGGGGATTTTTGTTTTTGGTATAAAAAAAAAAACTAAAATCATCAGGAATTAAGATACAAAAAGTAGTTTTATTTAGGAAATCTTATCCCAAGTATTCCCATGAATAAAACAAAATGTGATTGTGTCTTACTAACTAGGTTTCCATCCAATTGGCGACAAATTTATGCGAATATTCTAAAATCTGCATAAAGAAAATATGAGCATTTTCCTACCAGTGGTGTTTCCACCAAACTGACTTGTTGTGGGTAAAAATCAGTGCATGATGATGTAGTCCACACATTTACTTTTCACTTACGTTTTCATGCAACCAATAAAAATCTAATGTTCATTGTGTTTCCATCGCATTTTCACAAATGGTTGCGTTAAATAGCAAATGTGCCTACTCTGGTTTTAGCACTTGCACTACAGCCAACAACTTGCAGATACAGTGCGGGTAAGCTCTGCGGGTAGGCTACATGATTGGATTGTTAAGGATAAGATCATTTTTTTATTTGTCAAACGGCAGTCTAGCATCGATCATGATGTCACCAGAATAAGACCCTTGACAGTTATTGGAAAGGAGCATCAAGCTCATTCCGTGCACTTTCACCACCCTGTGAAGTTCATCATAATTTATTTAATCTGTAGCCTAATAAACTGCATGGTTTCCCGAGTCGTAGTGGGAGGACCACACACCATATCATCACGTGACTCCAGGTTTACCTCAATATGGTGATTATTATATCAATATATGCGCAAAAAGGTGTTCCCACCACCATGTCGCGCATAATTAAGTGTACAGACACAAAAAGATCCCACCACGTCGAACGAACAAATTATCTGTCAGCATTTTTTTTATTGTTCCGAAACTTCCCGTTTCCATCACAGCTTTTTAAACGGTATGACTTTACTAGCATAAAAACTGTGGATGGAAACATGGTTAATGTAATCAAGGCTGAATCTAGTTGTGTCCCCCTCTTCTCAGGTATGTCTGGTTGTGTCATCAAGTGATGCTCATCACACACCACACTCAACAAAGGCTGACAACACAAACACAAGGATTCCTTCTTCAATACAGGCCCGCGGAAAAGGATAAGGAGGAATTTCCTACATGTTTATGCCCCAATTTATTTTCCTAAAAGCTGAGCATGACACTTAGCTCGAACTGTTTCAAACACAGCAACCTACAGTCTACAAAAGTCTACATGAGGGTATTATCTAGCTCTCGAAAACCCTTATTATACATAGGATTTTCAGCGGTTAGCGTCGCCCACGGTTGGCTGCGTGTGAACTACAATTCCGACGCAATGTTTTCACGTTTAGAAACGTCAACAATCATCGCTTGCGAAACGGTTTTCGAAACATATGCTGACATGCCCCTTATTTTTCATATCAGCGAGAAATAATCTTTCAAATGAAAAATGATACACTTACTGTAGCAGTTTTGCACATATCCATACGCTGTGTGCGCCTCCAGTTGACGAACTACACTTCCTCCCCAGTTACGCTTACACACAGGCATTTGGAGCACGCTGGATAGCTAATTAGCACAGGTGGCTGCCTATGTCTTCCGTCTGTCTCCCGTAAACAAGCGCTGTAACATGGAGATATTGCAGTGTGGGAACACCAACCATAACCCTATAAAAGGTGTGTAGTAATTTCACTTTTTTAAATGTTTTATTATTATTTCTCCCCGATATGAAAGATTAGTTCCTTATGTTTCCAAAACATTTTCTTCTCAGGACAACCAGGGCTACAAGTACAAGACAAAACAAGTTGACATAAACAGTTGCATTCATGAGTTTTATTGACAAATGTAAATAAAAAATAAGGTCCGCGAAAGCAAAAACCAGATAAAAATGAATTTATATGAATTCTTTAAATACAGAAATGGTTTGCTCACTGGGAAATGAATATCCAACTAGTCAGTGACAACTGTGTGAAGTTTGAAGTTTGTGACATAAACTATGTGAGCTTATTACAGTATTATAGACCAGGTCCTGGGATTTCCTATGATCTTCTATGTAGAAGAACCCCTTACCTTCTAACATCCTGTGTAGCTTGTGAGCGCCATAAAGCAAAACATGTTACATGTGCGTGTTCGTGAGAGTCCCAGCTTTTCATAGATAGCTTTAATAGTTTGTAGCTTTATTTATTATTATTATATTTAATAGTTTGTAGCTCAAACCAGTCGGACTCTACAGACGTCTTTTTTTACCCGGCCCAGGGCTCCTTCGGGATCCGCCCTTGTCTCACAAACAACGCTCTAGCTCAGCCCCAGTTAATCACACAGACTAACGGGACGCAGAAGACTAATCCAATGGTACAACCCAGAAGTCTATAATTCAAACACACAATATTTAAAAGGGGTTAGAAGGCCAAAACACGGCAACGTTAGACAGACTCATTGGCTTAAGAACATTAAAATGCCTCGCTTGCGATGCGGTTTTGGAAACATAAGGAACTTATCTTTCATATCAGCAAAAAATAATAAAAAATCATTTAAAAAAGTGAAATTACTACACACCTTTATAGGGTTAGTGTTCCCTCACGGGCATATCTCCATGTTACAGCGCTTGTTTATGGAAGACAGACAGAAGACATAGGCGACCACCTATGCTAATTAGCTATTTATCGTGCTCTGAACACCTGTGTGTAAGCTAACTGGGGAGGAAGTGTAGTTCGTCAACTGGAGGCACACACAGTATGGATCTGTGCAAAACTGCTACAGTAACTATATATTTTCTTTGAAACATTATTTCTCGCTGACATGAACGATAACGGGCATACCTGCATATGTTTCGAAAACCATTTCGTAAGCGATGATTACTGACGTTTCTAAACGTTAAAATACAACGTCGGAATTGTAGTTTACACGGAGTCAAATGTGGGGTAATGTAATGGCTGAAAACCCTACATACTGAGAAGGGTTTTTGAGAGCTAGCTAGGTCTTATCAAGTTAGTCTGTTTGTTTGGGTACCTGAACTAGGCTAACTCCTCAGTTCTGATCACCTTATGCTGATACTAGTCCTACAATTCTGCTCAATCATGCAGCCAACCTAAATTGCAATTTGTTTAAAATGTAGGCCTAAAATGACCTACCATTCAGTCAAGGACATTGATTTGGAGCGAGGTGCAACTAACTACAAATGATAGGCCTATGGCTATGCTATAATAATACCAGAATTATCTGTGGTCAATGCCATTGACAATGGCGGGTTTTACTGTAGTAGGCTAGTTGCTATCAGTCTCAGCCACTAGTAACCAATATTTCCCATATTGTTATCTGGAAAATGTTGCGTATGCAAATCATCATGTCTAGCCAACTCACTTGTTAAACAAGCTAAGCCAGGTGGAAAGCTACAAAACATCTCCAACAACAGAAAACGATACTAAAGGTTACAATGTTTGTAACAACACTTGTTGCAACGTTAGCCAGCAGTTGACACTGGCTTTGTTATGGTGAGTTTGCAAGCAGACTGACCCTCCACTTATGGCAAACTAGCTAGCTAAATTATCTTATTTCGAAAGAACTTTGAAATTACTGGTCCGTTAGCTACTGTCTGTCTCTGGATATCTAGTACCTGTTTTAGTTGAAGGCCAAACATCATCATCATACAGGAAATAGGAAAGGTTTTCCCGAACGACAAAAGCAGTAGACTCCCCCTTCACAAGCATACCTTTAATCCGGACTCTGCTTTCTCCAGACTAGTAGCCAGCGTTAACACAATAAATAATAATTTACCGCTGTATCTATGTCCTCTTGTTTAGTAAAGTACTTTCAATAAGAAATTAATGTTACTCCAGGTAAATGGCGAACACACCCTCACTTCAATATTTGACAAGCCGACGAAAACTGACATTACACTTCCACCGCCACGCGCAAGGTCCGGATCAACCTCCTCCAGATGAGTGACGCAACTAGTCAGTCCCACTTGTCAAATCAAATGCTTAGCACCTGAACGAAAGATAAGAATAATGACTAAAAAAAGTAAGTAATAAAATATCTAAAGTTGCTAAATAAAAGCGCGACCAATTATGGGAGGTTGTTCAACTTTGCTCTACAATTTTGTGAATAAAAAAAATAGAAAACTTTAGTGTGATGTTTTTACAATGAATTAAATAATGTCACAAAGTTATAAATAACATAAAGTAAATATAACTTTTGTAATAACAGTTTTCGTGAAATTATGTTTCAGAAATGGTCAGTAATCTCACAACTCGCCCACATGGAGACAGCATTCCTATTAAATTACCAGATGCAGTGGATTTCAATACAGTGTTCTTTCTGGTGGATGCGATGTAGTATGTTGACAGGTGTGGAGTTCTTTTCACTGTCAGGCCACAGAAGACTGGAAATAATGTTATTATATGTGCTATGTATGCTGTAGTAGTGTCATCAATCACTTTGATTAGCGTAACGGCAGCGACACTAGCTGGATCCTATCCACACATTAAGACTTCCGGTTTCCGGATTTTGCCTTCAAAATAAAAGTCCGCGGTAAAACTTATCCGTATGATACGAAATCATTCTTTTTTTGTTGTAGTTTTTCATAGTGCATAATGTAAAAAATAATAATAATAATTAAGAAGTAACTAACTACATGTGGGAAAAGTCTAAACTAAAGAGAATTACTACTTTATATATGCTAAATAATATTTTGAGGTGGAGCACATTGAAAAACAGTTGGAGCTTAAGTAAATGCATGTCAAGAACAAAATAATAGCCTATACAGTACCAGTCAAAAGTTTGGACACACC